GTCTCTGGTCATCCCTGTACTGTGTCTGCAGTCTCTGGTCATCCCTGTACTGTTAATTAGTTTGCACTACTGTACGAGTTGTTTTTTCTAAACCAAAAGCTCGATATTCAGGGTTTCATTGCAGTGTTGGCACTTTGAAAGAAATAAGTTGGTTTTGGGTTGCAGTTTGGGCACTCGGGCTCAAAAAGGTTCGCCATCACTGCCCTAACCTATCTGCGTATGTATGAGGTCCAAATACAACATACTCACCTAGATGAGAATTAGGGACATGAAACAAAGAAACAAAACATTTACATTTAGTTTTTTTTTTTGTAAAGGGGAGGAGGCAGGAGTGCGGACCTCCCTCCCCCTGTCCACTGCCATATTTGGCACTTTTGGGAGGGAGAGGGAGCTGGTACCTGGTTTTGACAGGTACCCGCTCCCACTTCTTGGTCAGATTAGTGTGGTGATCTGTGATAAAGTTCAGCCCCTCCTATTACCCTGCAGGCTTCTGGGACACATCACAGGTCCCAGAAGACTGCTGGACCATTTACAAAGTGCAGTACAGCTCGCACATGCGCAGTAGAAACTGGCTGTGAAGCCACAAGGGTTCACTGCCACTTTCCCTTACCTAAGATGCCAGCGCTTACTTAAGCCAATTGAAGAATCTGCTCGGGTGAGGACATCACTGGATCCCTGGATAGGTAAGTATCCTTATATTAAAAGTCAGAAACTATAGTATTTGTAGCTGCTGACATTTAATTTTCTTGGGGGGGGGGGGGACTGGAGCTCCTCTTTAAAGTGGTTGTAAAGGCTAAAGGTTTTTACCCACACGCATTCTATGCATGAATGTAAAAAAACGTCACTATGCAGCTATCCCCCCAGCCTCTCCTAATACTTACCTGAGCCTGATTCAGCAATGTGCATGAGAGCAGCTGCTGTCCTGGCTCTCTGCCTCCTCATTGGCCATTGGCTCCCACTGCTGTCAATCACAGCCAGTGAGGAGGAAGCAGAGGTTAGGGCAAAGCCCTTACCCTTAAAGTGGAACTTCAGTACACAAATTCACTTTGGGCCCATTGCTCTGTGTTTTTCTTTTTGTGGGGGCTTTTTTTTTTTTTTTTTTTTTTTTTTTTTTCCCCAGTACCCCTGCACTACAATTCTCACCTACAGTGAAAGAAATAAGTATTTGACCCCCTGCTGATTTTGAATGTTTGCCCACTCACAAATAAATGATCAGTCTAAAAATCTAATGGTATGTGTATTGTAACACTGAGAGACAGAATGGCAACAAATTCAAAAGAAATGCATGTCTAACAAATTATGCACTGATTTGCATATTCATGACGGAAATAAGTAGTTGATCCTCTTCACAAAACATGACTTAGTACTTGGTGGCAAATCCCTTGTTGGCAATCACAGAGGTCAGACGTTTCCTGTAGTTGGCCACCAGGATTGCACATATCTCAGGAGGGATTTTGGCCTACTCCTCTTGGCAGATCCTCTCCAAGTCATTAAGGTTTGGTGGCTGACGTTTGGCAACTTGAACTTTCAGCTCCCTCCACAGAATTTCAATCGGATTAAGGTCTGGAGGCTGGGTAGGCCACTCCAGGACCTTAATGTGCTTCTTCTTGAGCCACTCCTTTGTTGCCTTTGCCGTGTGTTTTGGGTCATTATCCATCAACGTCCCATTTTCAATGCCCTGGCTGAGGGAAGAAGGTTCTCATCCAAGATTTGACTATACATTTCTCCGTCCATCGTCCCTTTGATGCGGTGCAGTTGTCCTGTCTCCTTAGCAGAAAAACACCAGCATTCCTCCTCCTCCAAACAAGGCGAGTTGAGTTGATGCCAAAAAGCGAGATTTTGGTCTCATCTGACCACAACACTTTCAACCAGTCCTCCTCTGCATCATTCAGATGTTCAGTGGCAAACTTCAGACGGGCCTGGAAATGGACCTTGCGGGCACTGCAGGATTTCAATCCATGTCGGCGTAGTGTGTTACCAATCGTTTTCTTGGTGACTGTGGTCCCAGCTGCCTGGAGATCATTGACAAGATCCTCACGTATAATTCTGGGATGATTCCTCACTGTTCTGACACTCCATGAGGTGAGATCTCGCATGGTACACCAGACCTAGGGAGACTGACAGTTGTTTTGTGTTTCTTCCATTTGCAAATGATTGCACCAACTGTTGTCACTTTCTCACCAAGCTGCTTGGCGATAGTTCGGTAGCCCAGTCCAGCCTTGTGTAGGTCTACAATCTTGTCCCTGACATCCTTGGACAACTCTTTGGTCTTTGCCATGGTGGAGAGTTTGGAATTTGATTGTTTGATTGCTCCTGTGGACAGGAGTCTTTTATGCAGGTAACAAAATGAGATTAGCAGCACTCCCTTTAAGAGACTGCTACTAATCTCAGCTTGTTACCTGTATGAAAGACACCTGGTAGCCAGAAATCCTGCTGAATGATAGGGGATCAAATACTTATTTCCCTCATGAACATGCAAATCAGTGCATAACTTGTTAGATATGCATTTATTTTGAATTTTTTGTTGTTATTCTGTCTCTCAGTGTTACAATACACCTACCATTTGATTTTTAGACTGATCATTTCTTTGTGAGTGGGCAAACATTCAAAATCAGCAGGGGATCAAATACTTATTTCCTTCACTGTACAATGCAGGGTTAATAGCCCTGCATTGTACAGGATGATGTCGAAGGACTGCCCAGAGCCGGTAGCATAAGGTAGAATAGGACAGTGTCAGTAATACTGCCTATTCCTGTAACCCCTAGACATAAGTGTAGCGAGGGTACCCCACTGCAAGGGTAATTTTTTTTAAATCCCATAGTTCAGATTTAAAGCCAAAAATGAGTATGATAGGCAGAAAACTAGCATTTTATGAGGTCAGCAATGGGAGCTTATGTATTTGTTTCCTAAGTTCATCCAAAAAGATGCAATGGACAGCGGAAACAGACTAGAGGTTGTTAGCATTCCAGGAAAATGTGCAAACACTACAATAAAGTGTGTGTGTGCAATCTGTCATTTCTCTTTCCAGTAGCAGAGCTGTATTTATCAGTTTTGCACAGTCAGGTCTTCCAGCCGTATCTGCAGGCACATGTGTCTGTAGGCTCTGCATAAACTAACCGCTTCATTCAGGGGACAGGAGATAGCAGCACAATACTACAATAGTCATTGAATCCAGGAAAACACAAAGATCTTTCAGGGACTTTACTGCCTGCTGACCAGTGACCTCCGGGTTAATAAAAATATTCCATTACTGGAGTGTCTTCTATTTTTTTCCATCAGTGTTATTTTAGTCAGAGGTTAGGGGGCTAGGTTTAAAGCTAGCCATATCCCAGTAGAATTTAGTTTTAAAACATTCCTTTATGGAACATGATTTCTATTTTATAATGGTTAGTGAGGATCAAACTGACGTTTGTTTTCAATGATGTGAAAATTTAAAGGAGCAGGATACAAAAATTTTTCTCAAATAAAGTTCTAAATATAAATGTGATTTTTGTTCGGGAAAATATTCATATTGTAATAAAACCTGTATAATGCATCTGGGATTCCATTCAAATGGAATAATAATGGCTTTTAATCAAAATGAGTTGCCTCAGTTGTAGCACTACTCCCTTAGGAGTTGCAATAGATTTGGGTCCCCCTATAGTCCTGCATAGCCAGGCAACACACATTTTCCATTCAGACTCACATCCAGGAGACAGTGACCAGTCCTTGAACTTGTTTTGGTGAATATTAAAACTTGGATGGGGTACGGGGTGTACAGGATGCCCAATGTAACTGGAATGGAGGATAAACTTCCTGATACTATTTACAAGTCTTTACAGCAAAAATCCTCTTCTGGAGAGCTAGCCAGCCTGTCATGATGTACCACCCTAGATCCTACTTAAATTAGCTGCTCTGGATGAATCCCTGGGCAGGGGATCCAGTGCCTACCACTACAGTGTGAACAGTCCCAAGTAAAATGCTAATCCGATTTCCCACCAGAGTGCTTGCCGCCCCTTACTGGCCCAGGGGTGCAGGTTTACTCACTTGGTAGCCCTCCTGTGCTGCCAGTGGCTGCTACCAGGTCTTCTAGCTGGGCCGCTCCTTCCATGCTGCACAGGTGGTCCTCTCGCAGGGGGCCGGTGAAGTCCCAAGCTTTCAGCCTTCCAAGGTCCTCTGCCTGCAGGTGAGCCTCTCTCCATCTGGGCCCCCCTTACAGGCTCCTGCCTCCAGCCTCTCACATCTGACTTTGTTTTTGCTCCTGAACTCTCACCACCACTCTTCTCTTGCTGAGCAGGCTCAGTTACTCTTAAAGGTTATCCTGGCCCCTTGCCAAGCCTCCTGTTGGGGATTTGCCAGAATCCTCTAAAAGTACTAACCAGCCACTTCTCAGATCCGCCCACTGCTTCCAGACCTTTCCCCAAAGTTCTAGAGCAGGGGGAAATTCCAGAGGGCTGGTCTGCAGAGCCTCTCAGCTCTGACCAAATTTAGACCCCTGCTAGCTATTACTCCCAGGCTGCTACTCAGCCCTTGCTAACAATTGGAGTCTAGCTCCCCCTAGCTAACTAGGAGGGTGATACACAGTGATTTCAGTGTTTTCTGATTTTTCGATGTTCAGAAAAAAAATCTAATTGCGTATAGCCAGACTGAGGATAGGGTTAAGTGTTAATTTTTGGTGTGAACAATGCCCAAGACATTATTTTGGATAGCGTGGGAACAAATTAGCAGCTTTGCCAAATTTTTATTGCTGTCTGTGTCTTCTGCTGGGGAGATTAATTCCCTGGAATTCCTAAAGACTGGTGTAGACATATTTTGCAAAAGTGAGTCACGTGCATTCTAAAAGTGGGGCAGCGTGCTCCAAATTTATGTACCTGTCTAGAATGCACAAGAGACACTTTCACAAAATCTGTCCACACCAGAGTCTCTCTCTGTCAAAAAAGAGTTGGTCTTATGCAGGCCATAGATGGGTCGAAAATCGGCCGATTTTTCGCCCGAAAATAAAATCGGCCGATTTTGGATCGTTAGTGGGTTAATTGTTCGGCCGTTTTTCGGTATTTTGGCAGATTGTTTTTATCGGTAAAGTTGGAAAAAAGATCGGCCGATTTTGCCGATCGGCCGATTTTCGCGGCAATTATGGGTAAATCGGACAATCTTTTTACCGATAAAAAAAATCTGTGCATGAGCAGTGACCTGCAAGAGAAAGACAAAAAGAAGAAGAAAAAGAAGAAGAGGATGAAGAAGAAGAGGAAGATGATGAAGAAGAAGAGGGTGAAGAAGAAGAAGCAGAAGAGGAAGAAGAAGACGAGGATGAAGAAAAAGAGGATGAAGAAGAGGATGAAGAAGAAGAGGATGAAGAAGAGGAAGAAGAAGAGGATGAAGAAGAGGATGAAGAAGAAGAAGAGAATGAAGAAGAGGAGGAAGAAGAAGAAGAGGATGAAGAAGAAGAGGAAGAAGAAGAAGAGGATGAAGAAGAGGATGAAGAAGAGGAAGAGGAAGAAGAGGATGAAAAAGAAGAAGAGGAAGAAGAAGAGGATGAAGAAGAAGAAGTGGATGAAGAAGAAGAAGAGGATGAAGAAGAAGAAGAGGATGATGAAGAAGAAGAGGATGAAGAAGAAGATGAAGAAGCGGATGAAAAAAAGAAGAAGAAGAGGATGAAGAAGAAGAGGAAAAAGAAGAGGAAGAAGAAGAGGATGAAGAAGAGGATGAAGAAGATGAAGAAGAGGATGAAGAAGAGGATGAAGAGGAAGAAGAAGAAGAGGATGAAGAAGAGGATGAAGAAGAAGAGGAAGAAGAAGAGGAAGAAGAAGAAGAAGAGGATGAAGAAGAGGATGAAGAAGATGAAGAAGAGGATGAAGAAGAGGATGAAGAAGATGAAGAAGAGGATGAAGAAGAAGAGGAAGAAGAAGTGGATGAAGAAGATGAAGAAGAGGATGAAGAAGAGAAGAGGATGATGAAGAAGATGATGAAGAAGAAGAGGATGAAGAAGAAGATGAAGAAGAGGATGAAAAAAAAGAAGGAAGAAGAAGAAGAAGAGGATGAAGAAGAAGAGGAAAAAGAAGAGGAAGAAGAAGAGGATGGTGAAGAAGAAGAGGATGAAGAAGAAGAAGGAGAAGAGGATGAAGAAGAGGATGAAGAAGATGAAGAAGAGGATGAAGAAGAGGAAGAAGAAGAAGAGGATGAAGAAGAAGAGGAAGTAGAGGAAGAAGAAGAAGAGGATGAAGAAGAAGAGGAAGAGAAGAAGAGGATGAAGAAGAGGATGAAGAAGATGAAGAAGAGGATGAAGAAGAGAGGAAGAAGAAGATGAAGAAGAGGATGAAGAAGAGGAAGAAGAAGAAGAGGATGAAGAAGATGAAGAAGAGGAAGAAGAAGAGGATGAAGAAGAAGAAGAATTCCAGTCCGGCAAAAAGTGTCCCTGCAGAGAGCTCCGCTATTTCTTTGACAGTTCTTTGACATTTATAGCGGTTGCAACATTGTATCTATTTGTTTCCGAATAAAACCATCTGTATCTGAAATGGATACAAATAGATACATTGTTGCAACCGCTATAAATGTCAAAGAACTGTCAAAGAAATAGCAGAGCTCTCTGCAGGGACACTTTTTGCCGGCTGTAGACGGCATGAAAATCGGCCGATTTTTTTTACCGTTCCTGGTAACGTCGGCCGATTGAACGACCGTGTTTTCGATTTTTTAAAGAAAAATCGGCCGGTTTTCTCCCCATCTATGGCCTGCATTAGTTAGCTCCACTTTCATAAGATACAAACTGTTGGTATATTATTGGCTCAGGTGTTACAGATAAATGTAAAAGTGGCACATTTTAGAACTACCTGAATTTGGCCCACGAGTCGCTGTCAGAACTAAAAGTGTTGCAGATGCTTCATGCATTTGCCCCAATATATTAAGAAAAGGCATTAGTGCCAGAAAAGTGCAGCAACTTTAATTAATTCCCCTGTTATATTTCTTTGGCCACTGTCACCAGGACTAAAAGTGAGGGAGCTGTCACCACTACAGGAAGTGAAGGTAAACCTTTAATGGGGACTCTCGTTCCGGTGACAGTTATTTTAGAGGGGGATAGCCCTCCCTTTGAAGAGATTTCCTTTCACTTTTGGTTGTGTCTGTGGGGCAGGGAATAATGGAAAATCTTCCCAACAGGACACAGATGGCAAAAAAACTGGAAAATATTTTAACCAATTCCCTATTCTAATTAAAACAAAAATAAATTTTGGATTTAGACATATTTTAAGCACTAGGTAAGGAAATAAAGTGGGCACAAAAAAAACATTCATTTGAATAAATTCCTCAATAGCCACACATTTTTATCTGATATAATTCCTCTCTTTGTTCACCAAATGCCTTTGCAAAGCCAATTATTACATTGTAAAATTAGTAGTGATCAACATCATCACCATGCTGTAGATAACCTGTGCAGAGAGAAGTGCTGTGGAAGGGGCTTGATAGCTCCACTCACTACAAGCTGCCTGCAGAAAACTACAGGAGAGGGTGGAGACAAGACCAGACCAGTGCACAAGAAGAGAAAAAAGCAGTGACTGGTCTGTATTACAGAAAGCTTCTACAGAAAGGCAAAGTGTCACACTGGTTTACTGCACAGATCTGAATGAAATACTGTATATAAAAAACACACCGAGATTCCACTAGAAGTACACACGCCTCTTGTATTAAGATAATATTTGCATTTCCCAGCGTTCATCTGATTATAAACCTCTCACCTTGTAAAACAACCCATTCAGTTTAAAATAGAAATGAAAGGCAAAATATTTGTGTATAAATATAAACAACATTATAAATACCTTTTTTTCCTTCTTTATAAGTGATCACATTCCCTGTGTTTTCAGTTGCATAAGAGCTAGGGCAGGACAAACAACAGTACACTAACCTTCCCAGTGAATAGCTGTGCAGGGGGTGGTGTCAGGACAAGTCTGATCATTGGAGGAGAGCAGAACTAGAGAACTGACCTTGCTCTGTTCTCCTGCTTAGTGCGGTCAGTTTTTAATAGGAAAGCAAAGGTACTAGAAGGAACCAGGGATTTCACACAAAGGAAGCAACACAAAGAGAACAGGATACTTTTTCATACAAGTACATGGTACATCAGGCATGTCTGAAATATGAAATATTGGGTTTACATATTGTTTAAGTATTAATATAAGTATATTAGATTAAAGCTAACATGTATTGACTAGAAACACTTCCCAGATGGCCACATCCTTATAGGAATGCCAACATCCCGAAATTTACAATTTTAGGTTTGGATGGGACTTTCGGGGAATTCTGAATGTAAACACCTACACTATAGCTTATTATAACATATAATTTATTAGAAACATGTATATTTTTTTTGTAATGATAAAACTCCAAACATCTATAAAAACCACACTACATGGAGTCACATTTATGACCAAAAGATATTGGGAACAATTCCCAGTGGTGTATTTAGGGTTTGTGCTGCCCTAGGTAACACATAAATCGGGCGCCCCATCACGGAGAGAGCTTGACATTGACCAACAACACCCCTGCCCAACCCCCTGAGAGAGCCTTCCACTAATGCCCCCCCCCCCCCCCTGAGGGAGCCTTCTACTAATACCTCCTTCCCACGGCGAGTGAGAGAAAGATACTCACCTTCACAGCTCTGGACATCCCCTGGAACAAGAGTCGGGCTCTCTATACACCATCAAGCAGCCTGCACCTGGTCTCACCTGGTCCCCATGCCACATGTGTCCCTTCTTTCATCCCTTCTTCTGGGGGGGCGCTACTGCCCCCCTGAAAAATGCCACCCTAGGCAAATGCTTTGTTTACCTTGTGGTAAATACGCCCCTGACAATTCCCAACACATTTCGAGCAGCATTTTTTTAATCAGGGGAACAAGAATCTGCAAGAGAACATAATACACATGTGGCTCAAACCATGACTGTCCAAGAGCTGCCAAGTCCCATCAGGTGGGCTCCAAGAACATGCCTCCCTCAGCAGGATCCACGGAGCCATTTCTTATCAGGCAGAATTAGAGCAAAATATAAAAAACTTTTTAGGTGCAAAAAAAACTTATGTGAACTTTTGGGCGGAGCTTGATTGATGTGATGTCATTACGTTTTTGACTGCCAGCTATTGCACATGTGCTGAGTAGTCAGGCTCGTTTATGTGATTGCTGTTGATGCTGTTGATGCTGGTGTCGGCTGGGACACCTCTTGAGTAAGTGCAATGAGTATCTAATAAAGGAATTGGTTTTTATAATATTGCACCATGAAGTCTTTCTGTTTTCTCTCGAGTGCTTGGCATTTCCCCCCATGGATACGTTTGAAGGTGGTCCTTTTTCTATTGGAGAAGTGGATTTTCGATTAACTACAAAGTTTTTCGTCCTGTTATTTCGATCGATGAGGATCGGTGTGTTGGAGAGCTTCCGTTTCTGAAGATATTTTTATGGATGATCTGCCATTATATTATCAAGGTTTTTTGGTGAAATTTTTTTATATTGAGACACTTTTTTTATATTGAGACACTCCTTTTGCACATAAGTTTTTTTGCACCTAAAAAGTTTTTTATATTTTTCTGTGGTATTGGTATATATATATTTTTCTGGACTTATGATTTGATGATTTTTTTACATATATTTATATATATTTACTAGCGCAAATTATTTATTAATTGGTACACTTTATATATGGTGGTTTTTTTGCAGCTGGTACACTATTAGTAAGTTATACAATTTTGACCATAGGCGCTATTATTAATTTTTCTTAGAATTAGAGCAAAGTAGTGTTATTCTCTGAAAGCAAACATCCACCAAACCAAAAAATATTCAGCGTGGACCTTTTGACTGCTAGGTGGAGTTTTAATGAAAAATAATAAAAATACATGGAATGATGATAGGGGTAAAATGGTCTGTTGCCCATTCACTAATAAGTATTAGTGTGGATCTTGGCCCTAACACAAACACTGCAAAATAACTAACAGGAAAGAAGAGACTGTTAGTATAAGAGACCATAAATCATAGCACCCAGGGCTTGAACCTGACTAATTATCAAGCATATCATTAAAATCAAAAAATTACAAAAAGTCTTCATTGAAAAAAATACTTATATTATAAATATCAAAATAACACAAACAAGTAACCCTCCACTACCATAAAAAAAGACATAGTTGTCTTTGCACATTCACAGGCGTCTAGACGTCATTCACACAAACATTCCAATAAAATGAAAAACCTTATCATAGTAATGAAAAATCTCCCTCTAATTATAACAATTCTCTGTGGGGGATAAGACTATCTCATTTAGAAATTCTCCTTCGGGAAATAAATATATTATGATAACCAGCGTTGTCTTCTTCCACTTTGGACTGGTTCTGTAAAGCAATCCATATTACAAATAAAGTGATCACTATATAATATCCGTTCAGTCATGCCTCAGTAGTAGCAATGCCTTATAAATGTTGCATTGACAGTTAGCATATAGAAATATTATTTCTGCATAATTCAGTAACACTTAATGAATATGCAGTAACGGTAAGACAATGCATATTATTACAGATTCAAATTATTTTAGAGTATCATGGGAAAGGGGATCTTCCACCAACACCTAGCAGCCAAAAGGTCCATGCTGAGGTTATCTTCAGGCTGCTAGGTGGAGTTTTCACATGTTTCTAATAAAATATATTCTATGAAAAGCTATATGTGTGTAGCACTACCCCCTTAGGAGTCACTAAGTTTTTGGGTGCCCCTACAGTCCTGCACAACCAGGCAACACACATCTTCTTCCACACTTGCACACTGAAACAGTAACCAGTCCTTAGGCTTATTTTTGTGATTTTATTAAAGGTATTGAACTTGGATGGGGTTGAGAGCAAGTTGGGTTCT